ACGACCTAACTAAGGCAGGCAAACGAATAACCTTCTTGTGGATACCCGCCCAGGTAGGAATATACGGTAACGAAAACGCCGATAAAGCAGCTAAACTATCCCTCAAAATCCCAGAAATAAGCTTAAACTTACCCATCTCAAAATCAGAAATTAAAAGTGTAAACAAGCAAAAAATCACCAAAAAATGGCATAACCTATATCTAAACTCAAATAGCCAAATCAAAAAAGTGCTCAGCAAACCACTAACCAAACCCAAAATTCTCCATCCATCGAAAAAAATCGACAGAGTAATCACTAAACTCCAAACAGGACACACCAACCTAAATAACCACCTAAAAAAATTTAAAAAACACACTACAGGTAACTGCCCACACTGCAAACAACCAGAAACCCCAGAACACGCACTCATCCACTGCACACACTACCTAACACATCGAACCGCATTACAAACCACCCTCAATCTAAACAAGGCTCTAACTCTAGAAGCAATACTAAACCCACAAAATAAACTAGAAAACTTCAAGGCCTTAGGCGTATTCTTAATAAAAACGGAACTAATAAAACGCATCTAAAAACACAATAACCTACCAAATCAAAATCACATAAACAAACAAACATCCACCATACCCAGCTCCCTTAGTTCTCCTCCCCAATCCCATCGGCATCTATTCCAAATCTCAAAATTCCCAAATTCTATATAAGCAACCCCTAAAACCCCCCTCTTGGGTTGCACAGACCACCTTCGCCCCTTTCGGAAACACATTAAATGGCCTGGCCGGGCCCGTGTGCGAAATACGCATCAGTCGGAAAGCGCACGTTAAATCTCCAAAGTAAGTAAGTAAGTAAGTAGCCCTATCCAATAACCGTGGGTATAGACCAAACTCTATCGGACCAATGTCCCCTAGAAAATGGTACTCCACAGGGCAGTATCCTCAGCCCCACCCTCTTCAATATAATGATAAACGATCTATTCGAGGGCCTATCCCCTAAAGTAAACACATCAAAATTCGCGGATGATGGAGCCATCTGGATCCGCACTAAAAGCATGAACATGGTCCAAAATTTACTCCAAAAATCTCTTAATAAAATATAACAATGGGCTGACAAATGGGGCTTCTCCCTTAACTCAGAAAAAACAACAGGAATAGTATTCAAACATAAAAACATGAAACCCGCCTCCCCAATCCTCCAGCTAAACAATCAAACAATCAAATTTCAAAAACAAACCAAATTCTTAGGACTTATTTTCGATGAACATCTCACCTGGGATGCTCACATCCAAAACCTAACAACTAAATGCAGTAAAGACCTAAACACCCTAAGATGCCTAACTGGCTCTAACTGGGGAGCATCCAAAGACACCCTCCTCTCTCTCTACATATCACTAATTAGATCAAAACTAGACTATGGCTGCGCCATATACAACACCCTAAACAACTCTCTATCTAAAAAACTTGACTCAATACAATATCAGGCTCTCAAACTAATTACATGCACCCAACATGGCACCTCCTACACCTCACTTCAGGCCTTAACAGGAGAAATGCCACTAAGTCTATGCAGGGAACAGCTAAGCTTAAATTTCTGGGCCGCGTCCCAATCAAACCCTCTCATCCAAAACTTAATAAACCAAAACATCAGCCCTAAATACCAAGCTCTAGCTCGTAAACACCCCTTACTTACCCCAATATCCCAAAGAATAACAAACTACCTAAATGAACACCAAATTAAAAATCTTAAACAAAACTGCAAACAATCAAATATCTTCACCCCTAAACTTAAAATACCCAAAATAGACACAACACTAGCTAGCCAAATAAATAAACAAACCGACCCAAACATAGCTAAAACTACCACACTAGCATACATACACGAAAATTGGCCAAATTGGTGTCACATTTACACGGACGGATCCTCAGATCCAACCTCCAAACACACAGGTTTCGGAGTCCATACCACACAACCAACTAAAACCACACAATCCTTCCGACTCCCAAACAACCAATCAATATTCACGGCAGAACTAATGGGCATGGCCTCAGCCCTCCATAATCAAGAATAAAAAAAACACAAAAAAATCCTAATACTTACCGATTCCCTAAGTGGACTGCAAGCCCTCCAAAACAAAATTACCAAAAACCGACCTAAATTAATAAATCAAATACTTAAAAGCTCCAACGACCTAACTAAGGCAGGCAAACAAATAACCTTCTTGTGGATACCCGCCCAGGTAGGAATATACGGTAATGAAAATGCCGATAAAGCAGCTAAACTATCCCTCAAAATCCCAGAAATAAGCTTAAACTTGCCCATCTCAAAATCAGAAATTAAAAGTGTAAACAAGCAAAAAATCACCAAAAAATGGCATAACCTATATCTAAACTCAAATAGCCAAATCAAAAAAGTGCTCAGCAAACCACTAACCAAACCCAAAATTCTCCATCCATCGAAAAAAATCGACAGAGTAATCACTAAACTCCAAACAGGACACACCAACCTAAATAACCACCTAAAAAAAATTAAAAAACACACTACAGGTAACTGCCCACACTGCAAACAACCAGAAACCCCAGAACACGCACTCATCCACTGCACACACTACCTAACACATCGAACCGCATTACAAACCACCCTCAATCTAAACAAGGCTCTAACTCTAGAAGCAATACTAAACCCACAAAATAAACTAGAAAACTTCAAGGCCTTAGGCGTATTCTTAATAAAAACGGAACTAATAAAACGCATCTAAAAACACAATAACCTACCAAATCAAAATCACATAAACAAACATCCACCATACCCAGCTCCCTTAGTTCTCCTCCCCAATCCCATAGGCATCTATTCCAAATCTCAAAATTCCCAAATTCTATATAAGCAACCCCTAAAACCCCCCTCTTGGGTTGCACAGACCACTTTCGCCCCTTTCGGAAACACATTAAATGGCCTGGCCGGGCCTGTGTGCGAAATACGCATCAGTCGGAAAGCGCACGTTAAATCTCCAAAGTAAGTAAGTAAGTAAGTAAGCCCTATCCATCACTTGCTTGATAAAGGTGTTAGGACCTACACCGAAACGTCGCACCAATTGTAATAAAGAAGTTGTTCATCCATAGAACTCGTCTTACATTATATCCTTGTACGTTGATACTGTGTAAGATGTTGCCTCTCACTGTAAGGCTCACTCTTTTATATTATTTCATTTATGTTTTCTGCAGTGTTCCTTGTGTTTTCCGTAAACTTCAGGAATTTGTGGGGTTTATTACCCTAATAGCTAAATATTTTACTCTTATTGTAAAATGAAAAATATTAAAGGTCAAGAATGCTTGAAGAAGGCTATTTGCCAAATTTCCAGATCAGAAGAGGAATAAAAATGCTTTGTGCTTTATTTGTAACACTTTGGTTACAATTGTAATATGAAACAGGTGGACATTCATCCAAAACTATTGCTGACAATTTGGTGTGGTGCATCAACATCTACTCAGTATAATGACTGATTCACTTGAGCGATGTACATATTAACTCAAATTTTCAGTCAATATACATACTGACTGAAAAATGAGACTGGATTTTAGACAGATTGACTAAAATGAATTTAGACTCCTTAATTTAATCTCATTTTATTTAGGATCTATTTTGATCTTACGAAGGTCAAAGTAACTTCTGTAAGTAATTATGATGAATTTATTTGTTCTCCAAACATGCATAGTTGCACAGGTCAAACTGGTATTTCACATGTGTCGATTTCACTTGTCTGGCTTGTGAGAGAGTATGTTGCAATAAGATGGTGTCAGACACCATTCTCTTGAGAAGTTCTGTTGGTAGCTAGGGAACTGGAACAAAGTCCAACTCTGGCTTCAGTACAAGAAGGCTTGTACTGTGATTGTTTGAAAACCAGAATAGTGGCTGCTGTTTTTTTGGGAATTGTACAAAGCGAGGTCTCCTAAATCAGTCTGTTGAATCATTGCAACAAGCATGTCCTTTACATCACAGTTTAAACATTCAACTGAACTTTAGGTGTAGATGGACCATCAGGTCAGGCCATAGAAACTTGAGCTCTGTGATAACACATGCAGTAAATTCACCACCACTATCACTCTGCAAAATTTGGCTTCTAATCTGTTTTACTGTTTATTTTTTAAGAAAACCAAGATAAATAGTGATGTGATGACATTTGTTAACATCATAATGATTTAAATATATTGTGTAAACTGCTTACTTAGAAAAGTTACTTTGATCTTTGTGAGATGAAAGTATATTCAAACTAAATTGAGGAGAGGAGATTATGTTAAGGAGTCTTATTCATTGCAGTCAATCTGTTTAAAATCCAGTCTCATTTTTCAGGCAATATGTATATTGTTTGAAAATTTAAATCAATATGTACAGAGCCTCAGTGAATCAGTCAATATACATATTGCCTGATTATAGACATCGACTGTAACATGTACACGCTGCTGTGGAATAGTTGGAATATTGTGGTAATCACTCACTCACTCAATCACTCACTCACTCTGTCACCCATTTGTCTGAGACTGCTAAGGGGAAAATCATGACAGGGCCCCTACAGCATGGATCGTTACCATCAACCACTAGCAAATCACTCGCCCACTCATGGACTGCTAACAAGGGACATCAATACCTTACAGCTTATTGTGATAAAGCTGTAATATTCATGGCCTAAAATGACATCCATTCGCTTGCTGTGCCAAATTCATTCACCTGAAGCTTTTTTTTTTACCAATTACATGTTACCTAATGCTCATCTCTTCATTTTGTACATCACCTGCTTAATAAACAAGATGCTTATCCATACTGACGTGTCATTAGTTCATAACCTGATTTGTTTTCCACACTTATGGTACTAATTGACTTAATTTGTGACATGTGTGATGGAATATGTTTTGGCTAGCAGCAAATTAATTTGTGTTGGACACCCTGTGTAACATGACGTCTTTAGGACAGATGTATTCACTTCTAACCATAATTTACACTTTTGTACTTGACAGGGCTATGCTGATGAAATACAAGGACCACTTAAGCAGCATACAAGAATCAGAAGATCATGGGAGGTCACCTTATGTAACAATGGCAAAAAACAAGTAGAAAACCATTTTAGAAATATTCTTAATAATTGAAATTGAAAAAAACCCTGAGCATACCACAACCGATTATTTTCTAAGGAGATGATTAAAACAAAGATATACCTTAACAATGCAAAAATGACATTTACCTACTGTTTGCGCACTCACGTGTTTGCATCTGAAGTATATATTCACCAAGACTTAATTATCTATACAAACAGGTGGTAGTATGTCAGTTTGATAAATGGAAGAAAATATCCTTCAGAGTTTTTCTATATTGTTTGTACACTTTTGTGAAAAGCAAAGATACTCTTTATGAAATGCAATATCTTGGAAGATAACATTTTCTATACAAATGTGTTCCTTTGAAATTGTAAATATATATTATGGCAGTTGTTTGTAAATTAATGTGAAATAAATATTGTGTATACATGATGTCATTATTGTTAGTGGCAGTGGAAACTAGTAAATTTTTTGGAAGTAATTGTCAGTGGCAGCTAATGATTGAAATGCTAGTAAAATGTTGAGTATTGTCGACAACTGGAAGTTTTCTGTCCTGGCTCAAGATGTTAATCACTGGATTGTCTGGTTTAGACTCGATTATTTACAGACTGCCATCTGGATATCTGGGTCTGTACACTGCATAATGAGCATCCTTTGGTTTCCTTTCCTGCACGAAATTGCAAGTACAGAAATAACATTTCGCTCTCCAACGGCTGATTTATGAGGTTAAACTGCAACGTATCCCAAATTATAGCTTAATGATGTTTTGAAAATATCTTCAGAATTTTATGGAATGACATGATCACATAAAATATTATTTATTCTGCCCTTTGAGTTATTGCTTGTCTTCTTAAATGCTGATCCTGCTTGACAGCATCAGGTTCCAGACTGAATCCTTTGGGGAATGAAAAAGGCCAGGTACACCAGTACCTATTTGTTTGACAAGTTAGTTGAAGATAAAGTAAGTATCAGATTTGAACCTTGGCAGAATAGGATAACCATTATGTCTATCTGTTTATCATGATTTGTTATTCAATACAATGTGTCGCGGATTTATTTCTGTATAAAATATATGGTGTACCTCTGACATTTCTCTGATAAATAAGACAGGGCATAACAAGTATCTCATATTTCTGGAACATAAATGTTAATTGCATATTTGAATTGGTCACCTAAACTTATGAATAATTTGGAATTCAATATGAAACACAGACTCCGCAGCCAGAATTAGCAAATGAGATCTAGGTTAATGAGTAACACGTTCCAGCAGCTGCAACATAGTCCCCATGAGTGTTCCATGGCTGAATAGGGCTGTAGATGCTGTTCACAGGGTGATTTAACAGGAATCGGGTTACAGTTTGGTGATTTAGTGTGTCATAACCTGCTGACCTCCACTGACATTGCTACTGGAACAATGAGACTGGCTTTGCCTTACAGGTACACTAAGATTGGCTTGGTTATACTGATGTGCCGAAATTGGCCTGGCCATTCTGGTACACTGATACTGGTACACTTGATAGTGAATGAGTTGGTTTTAACACCGCTTTGAACAGTATTCCAGTTATATTAGGTTGTGTCAGCTCAATGTGGGAGGAAAGCCCAAAGTGATGCAAGTCTCCGACCTTTACCACTTTCGTGAAACTCACGAGTATGGATATGGTGCTGACATACCAAGAAACATAATCAGGGCAAACCAGGATTCAAAATCATGATCATAGTGACGCCTTAGACGACTTTGTAACCAGTGAACACTGAGACTGGCTCTCATACAGGAACACTGAGACTGGTTTTATACAGGAACACTGAGACTGGCTCTCATACAGGATAACTGAGACTGGCTCTCATACAGGAACAGTGAGACTGAGACTGGCGCTCATACAGGAACACTGAGACTGGCTCTCATACAGGAACACTGAGACTGGCTCTCATACAGGAACACTGAGACTGGCTCTCATACAGGATCAATGCTCAATCTGATTAAGATCCGGACTACAGGCCGGCCAAGGAAGAGTGGCAATAGCTTCTTGACGCAAATAAGCCAAAACTGCCCGAGATCTGTGTGGTCTAACATTGTCGTCCATGTAAACAGGTCTGAAGAGGATGGTTGACAAAAATGAGGGACTACCGCAGGACGAAGAACGGCATCTTGGTATTGTTGGCCATTCAGGTTTCCACGAATTGTCACAAGCGGAAGTTTGCAGCCGAAGGAAACACAACCCCATATCATGACAGACCCCCCGCCACATGCTAAGGTCTTCTGGATGTTCCTTGGTGCAAAACGAGTGTTACGTTGCCTCCAAACACATATTCGACCATCAACAGTTCGTAGCAGCATTCGACACTCGTCAGACCAATGGATCCTTCTCCAGTTGGCCAAGTTCCATCGACTATTGGCACGACACCATATCAGACGATTCCGCATGTGCCTCTCAGTCAGTTGAGGACGCCTTACGGTCATCATCGTCGAGAGTCTCTGATGGGTAATCCACTGCAGTCTTAAATCTGTTGAAGTGGCAAATGGATTTCGTTTGACTATCCTGAAAAGACGTCTATCCTCTCTGTTAGAGGTCTTTCTTGGCCTACCAGACCTATGCCTGTCATTGACATCATTAGTTTGACCATGTTTGACAATCAAACAAGTGATAACACTGTGATGACGACCCATTTGTCTTGCAAAGGCCCTGCATGACATGCCAGCATTTTTCATGCCTATCACTTGCCATCTTTCAGCGTTCGTTAACTTTCTCCTCACCATGGCTGATTTTCAACCTCTATTGGAAGGGGATTCTCACACAGGAGCAAAATGCAACCACGTGTCTGAAACTTGAATTTCACTATTTATAGGGTAGGGGAACTGCAGCAACAAGTAAAGCACGCTTTCCTTGTGGTATCTGGACAAATTTGGGTTCATGAAACTATGGAAGCCTAATTCAGTCATACATCATCACATTTCGTATTTCTGATTCCCACACGTGAAATCATGAGACTATGAATATGGTGGCGCTTAACTTTTGTGCATGTGTATATATAACAACTGTGTGATAAGCAGAATCAATAAAATTGACATAAATAATGATCTCCTTGCTTGAAAGTGTCAACATCAGGAATGACACCCTACGCACGTGTATGGCGCTACTGAGTGCAGCACGTGCAAACAACAGGATGTGTTTTGGTATTAAGTTTTACAGACAAACGTTCTTGCATAGGAATTTTGTCGTCAACACAGTCTTTGTTCAAATACTTTGTATTAACATTCATATTTCGTGATCCCCTACACTTTTTTAAGAGTATGTAATGGATTGAAACGTGTTACGCTCAACTCAGACATACAGTTGTTGAATTACTTTTGAGCCTCAGTATCTTAGGTCTATTACAATGTATCCCAGATAAAGGTGCCAAATGAACATTATTCACTGTGTTTCTAGCCATTCCTTTAATTCTGTGCTGCAATGATCATTGTACGGAACATGGATCAATTTCACTGGAGACAAAAGTATGGTGAATTGTCGGCAATACCCCATTAATAAAATAGCCCCGAAATAATGTTCCCTTTGGTCGATTTTTTATGGTGTTGATGTGATGCTTCCAGGTCTTTTCACACTGAACTCTGCTTGTTATACTAAATGTCCGGGTTATCGACAGTCTCTGACTAAATGGTACACATAAGAAATTCAGGCCAGATGACGAGCTTGTGAGCTCACCTGAATGAAAGTCCGTCCGACGTTTACTTAAGCATTGTCGATGTCACCTCTGAAATTACAAGGGCTACGAAGCTGAAACTGCACGAATGTTTGTTTGTTTATCGCCACAATCAGCAATATTCAAGTCACATGACGGCGTCTGTAAATAATCGATCCAATGATTGACATCCTGAGTATCGATCCACGCTATTGGGATACGATGACATGCATCAACCAAGTCCGCGAGCTTGACCACCCGATCCCGTTAGTCGCCTCCTACGACAAGCAAATCGTCTCTAACAACAAGCATGAGTTGCTGAAGACCTATTCTAACCCGGATCTTCAAGCGTCTTCTGCCCGAATGATCCAAGGTATAATGTCTAAAATGGCACAGAATTGCGATCCGATTTTAAACGCTTCCACGTGGACATGATATTTTATCAGCTACATCTGCAAAACCAGGTATTTCTTCAATTAAAACAGATGCCGCATTGTATATTTGTGGCAGACAATTTCTTTTTTCACCGGCCTGAAGCAAATATAATTTTTTCAAGAATTTTCGGGGACATTTTTGCGATAAGATCCCAAGAACAATGCATCAGGATACCTTACAATAGCTAAGTCGCAGTATGAAACGAATTCGATGAATGCGGGCGAGATAAAGATCACTTTCAGCTTGCTGATAACTAAAGTCGGTAGCATGTGAGATTGGACACCCATTCATCACATGGGGGAAACAAAAGGTTACAACACAGTTTTTTCTTCATAATTCCGGCGAGTCCAGAGCCTTGAGAGCCAGCAAACTTGCCTTCTTTTTTTAGAGTAATGACGAAAAATCGTGGGTTTCCTTTCACGTGGAGGCATTAGCTTAGTTGTTGGTTCGACGCCACTTCAACTCGTTTGTGACATCATAATGTTGATGTCATCTTAACTTATTCGCCTTCATATGTCGTCACGTTCCTAAGGAAAACTTGTGTCATTTTGTGATATGAAGAGACGGGGCCCAGCTTGCAACTCCGACCCAGATTTCCTAGTCAAAATATGCCCTCCAAAAAATCGGGATATTCGAAAATAGCATATGATTACAAAAGTACAAAGGGGTATCGAGTGATGGTGATGGATGGATAGTCAGAAAGAAGGACCAGGTGTACCATGACAATTAACAGAACATGCTGACGCTGTTTGGTGAGGGTGTGAACAACCAAGAAAAGACGACAGGTGTGTGTTGTGAAAAATGAGCGTTTGCGATGACTTGATCAATGATGAGTCATGCCCCGACATTCGTATATTCGAGTAGAGTCCGAATATATCTCACGGTAACAATTTGAGGCTCCCCTTGCAGCGCCCAGTTCGGCTCACGTAGCGGTTGGCGTCCACAACTCCCGATCATGTCCCAGACGTGCTGTATAGGGGAAAGCTAGGGACGCATGACCTGCCATTGCATTCTGCTGCTGTTTGGCTGCTGAAGGTAGTCAGTAAGGATACACAAATCGTGGTAAAGCATGGCTGTTTCAAGTCCGCAAATCAAAGACTGAGAGACATTGAACATATTCGTTGAATATATTGAGCGTATACCCAATCTGATTACATATACAGCATTCAAGCAAGAGTAGAGAGTTTACGTGTTACCGTGGATAATGAAAAACAACAATACTAATGGCACAGAGCGATTTGACGACCTTTCACTGAAGTGTCAATCAAGAATGACCCTAACCCACGTGCGCGGAGGAATTGCGGAGACAACGTGCCATGTTTTGGGTGTGGTTTTGGTTCCATAACCGTTTTCCTTGAAGTCATTTTCTCAAAACGGATCTTTCTTCTGACGATCCATCATAACATGTATAGTTCATGGCCCCCCACTTTATTTGAAGAGTATAATTGATTTGCTGTACGCCAGTCTACCTCAACTCGTAAAGCGCATAGCTTGGAGCTCGTACCAGCTGTGGAACCAGTTTATCAACCCAGTACCTCTGCCACAGGCCAACGAGATGTGAAGATTCCTCACATCTAACACATGCCCTTCAACAAAATACATTCGTTTTATTATCTATTTCATTTTCTATATACACCTTCAGATACACATATGTCCAGAAATGGTTTGCTTTCATTGGGGAAATATCATAAAGAGTTTCAAACAATTTCCATG